GCCAGCTTGCGGCAGTAGGCGTTGATCGCCGCCTCTCCGCCGAGCCACTGGCGGAAGTCCAAAGCTGAGCAGGCAATATCAGCGTGTCTGAGAGCTCAGAGCATACAATAGTTCGTGGGACTGACCTGCGCTGACGCTGATGAACGCCGACTGGTCCATAGTTCCCGTCCCTGCAGAGGTATTATGAACCGAGCATGAAGAATTGCTGTGCGCGCGCACATTCATGCTGAGCAACGAAACTATTCTCTTCCGTCCCTCGCGCCGGGGGCATCGGCTGGTTGGGAGAGACATATGCGTGGGACGTCGGGATGGACGACTTCATGATATGCTGGTTCCTATCGTAGCCTGTGCGTTCAGCGCGATACCACACCACTAGGCGTCCAAGCAAGCGTCTAAGCAGACTGACCGTTTCGGGACATACAGCAGAGCGCAGCTCCTCTTGGTGTAGAGCCATTTGTGACAGTTCGAAATGAAGAAGTCTGGCCGCGCCTCGGAGAGCTTGAGGTCGAGCTGGCTCGCAAAGATCCGCGTCAGACCGTTCCACTCTATCAGTAAGCTCCGAGGAAACAGACCTCCTGGCCAACACTGTGCGCACCGTCGATGACGGTCCATATCCCCTCCTCCTTGCAGATCTTGACCATCTCCTTCCATGGTAGGAGCACGCCCGGGTTCGACACTAGACTGTCTATGACAGCGACGAACTTGTTCTCCTTCGGCTCGCTTTCTACGTACCCGGGCGCGTCGGAGGGCACGTCGTTGAACCGGGTGTTCGGGTACAGCGCCTTGATGTCTTGGACGCGCGAGCGAAACCGCTCGAGGATCTCCGCATGCGACATGGGGAAGGTGTACTCAACAGCGTGTGCCGTCGGTCGCGGCTGCTCTGATCGGTCGCTAACATACTGGATCGTTCGGGATATGGCACCGTACGTCGTTGACGCTGGATAAAAGTCAGAGAGGAACTTGCAGCACGATGGGGACGATGTACGCCAGACCTCCAAGAAGCACATCGCCCTCGCGCCACTCGAAGTTCCTCAGCACCTCGTTAACACCGTGCGTTGCGTTGGGCACGAGGACGACCTCGTCGTGCTCCACGCCGATCAGTTCCGCAACGCGCCTTCTGATAGATGCAGAGCATGTCGTATGCATCAGCGGGTCCCAAGGAGCCAGGATGATCAAGACTAGCCACCAACCTGGCTTCCCTCACCATGGGCATGTAAGCCACGCGGTGGTATTTGTCGGGGTTACGCTCCGAGAGCATATTGACCTCGGCACACTTGAAGAGGACAGGGAGTGGAGTCGACCCGTATGAACCTGTGTGACGCTGTGAGTTTGTGCGTCAAGGCAGACGTATAGCGGGGGGTAGCCCCGGGAATGTGGGTGTACACTCTATGCAAACACGAAGATGTCGCATACACCGAAAGCCACTCTCATTTCCCAGCAGACTCGATCACCGAGCTTGAAGAATTGCCCATTTCCGAAAGCCAGTCGATGTGCGAGCTCACTGACCATGATTCAAGTTCACGTACTTGGGATCGAACGCCCAGTACGGTTTGATAGAACGCCCAAAAGGCGGGGGCTTCTTGCTGGTATCGTACGAGTCGTAACTTACACCGTCATCGACGGCGATAGCAGAGGGATCGAGTGCAGTCATCTTGCCAAGATTGGGAGGTCGAGGAGGAGCAGACTGTCTTAGTGGTTAAGAGCAATTGATAAAGTAGTATGCGTGGCTAGGTTTCAGTTTGCATGAGTCAATCGAGTCAGACGGAACAATCGAAGCCGCCGACCGCGTTCACGAGATGCGTTCCTATTCACTTGCCAAAATGGGACAGACACCAGATAACACTATCGCAGGGTCGCCGCCGGGGCTCTAGCTCTTTTTAGATAATTGGGCAATATTATGCTATAATAATAATCGATGCACTCGGGCGCGAACAACAAAGAGACCTCAGACAATCCGCCTTTGGAGGGATGGCTTATACGACTGAGTAACATCAAGCGATTGTCCTGTAACGAACGAATAACGATAAATCAGTATGAACACAAACCAGGTAGTTCACAAGCACTGACTATAAGTCTCATTCCGTGCTCCAGTAGGTGGGTGGAATAGAAAAGTGCATCTCGCGTTGATCACACACAAGCAGGATGGAGATCAGCACCGAACCTAACTACTCGGGGTCCTCCAGTAGAAACTCCTCCAATGAGTTCTTCTTCTGCTCTTCGCTCATCAACTCAGTCCTGAAAATCTCCTGCTCAGACAGCCGTGTCTCAGCCCATTTGGGCAACGGTATGATAGACGCCTTCACCGCCGAAGGGCCAAGCGTCGGCATCGGACGAGTGCTTCTACTTGTCATTGTCGCATTGCATGCGTAGCACAAGAACGGGACCAGCGAAGGAGGTGTATGCAACTGGTGAGCGTCTTTCGAAACAAGATGTGACGACGTTCGTATTGAGATTCTTGATTTCCACTCTTGTATGCCTTCCTGCACTGGTCTGATACAGGCCAGGTATCACTACATCTGCGCAATATGCACTCGAGATCGAGAAAATGACCTACCGGGCGCACAAAGCACATCGTCCCGCAGCATCACCCTTTGGTGCGACTTTTGTGCATGTTCGGACGACAGTCGAGACAGTAGACGGATAATCCTTCTCCAATCCAAAAATAAAGTCTGGGCAACACGAGATGAGTCGTACACGACGTACAATGCAAGTTGAACTCGCCTCTAGTTAGCGCACCGATATCTTGCTTAGAGCCTGACCACAGCCATTTCTCCTGTCCGACGACCTTGATGTTCATCCACCAAGCCCATATCGCACATTCTTTCATCCCAATGTCGCGCAGCGGCCGGACGACCCTTACAGAGTGCTTCTCCTTTTGAGATCTGGGAAGAGTAGAATCTTTCGACTCCCGAGCCTCGCGTGGCGTTTGATCCGGCTCCCACTCCTCTTGCGTCTCCTCTCGAATATTAAATCCTCTTCCTTGCGAAACTCCTGATATGAGAGAGACTGCGAGGCTTGTCAGCGATGTCCCGAGAACTAAGTGCGAGGATCCAGTCTTCACGGCAGTATGCAGCAACAAGAGGCGGATAAACGTCTGCACGCTGGAAGCAGCTGCAGTGGTAGTCGGGAGAGATCCGAGGTGGGTGCGCAAAGCCTCGACGGATGACGCTGGCCTCAACGGCGTGTTCACTGTTATACGCAACTCTAAAACTTCTATTGAGGCTAGACGTCAAAAATTCAAGTGAACACAGCATACCTTCGTCCGTCAGGTCCACGCCCAACTGCTCCAAGCTCTGTGCACCAGCTATGGGATCCCACCAGTCGCTGCTAAAGGCGTCCTGTATTCGAAGTGGCACAAAGTCAAACCCGTCATAACTCCTAACAATTCGAGCGACGTCTTTGGTGTGATCGCGCATCTACTTTTGCAACGTCAGCTCCAACAACACGCGCCTGCTATCTCTTTCGACGACTAACGGTATACATACCTCCGGAAACACGTCGCACACCTCTACATAGCACACCGTCACCTTCTTCCACACCCTCTCGTGCCGTGGGTGGTTCTTTCCTCCATCCGCGGGCATCGTTGACTGGTCCATTTGGATGTAACACCGATGGACGAGATCCAACAGCACCGTCGACCCCAGTCCCCCAGAGAATCCGACGAGCAAGTTCCCCGCTGGCTTCAGTGCCGTCCGACGCGGCCCGTCTGGTTTAGGATTGACCGAGGGCTCCAGGGCCCTCCGAAATTTGTGAGATACCAAGGGAATGAAGCACTCCCTGCAGTACGCCCTGGTCTTATTTACAACGGAGCACGTTGGAGAGAAAAACGCACTTGCAGTAAACAGCATAGCGAATAACAATGTTCCCGTCTGAGGTTTTACATCTTACGCATTGCTTCGTCTTGTCGTACTTTTTCCGGCCTGGAGAGAATGAGGCGGAGGAGCGTGCCAGCAGTCTTTACTTGACTTACGCGGCATAAGCGCATCCGTTTCAGAGGTCGGGTTACCGCAGGACATGCTGGTCTTGAGAGGATCGAAGGTTGATCTAAGGTGAGTGATTCAAGTGCCTTGTGTGATTGCGAGACAATAGCAGGTGAAAGAGGCGTAGTACAACAATCTGATATGAATGTCGTAGCCTGAAGCAAAGCACTGACTCAGTTTGTTGTTAGGAGATCTTAGGATGATCGAATAAATCTTGCACGCGAGCGCCTAATCTATATAGAAGGGGAGGACGGGGCGCTAAAAAGCCACAAAGCCACATGGCCTGACCGTCGCTCCCTAATGCTCTGCGCGCGGGCACGAGAAGAAACTGTGATAATAGGTTGACTACAAAATATACAAATAGTAAAATTACTGTATTAATAAAATAAACTCTGTCATATTCCTGAGTCAGCAGTACCTGATTGAATTATTGCATAAAACCTTGAGCCTTATATCATAGGTGGTTTCAAGCTTCCCTTATAATTGTTTTGAAATCACATTAGCATAGAATACAAAGTTAATCCACTGGGATTTCACAAAATCCTTGGGCAAAGTGTATGAACTCCTTAGTAGAAAAAGCCAGCAATAGAATAGATCTTGATTTTGTGATATAAACTACTTTGATGCTTCTAAGTATTTGTGAACTTTATAATGACCATTGCTCCCTAATGCTCTGTGCATGCACAAGAAGAAACTGTGATAATAGGTTGACTGTATAGTATACAAATAGTAAAATCAGTGTCATTATAGAGTAAACCCTGTTGAATTCCTGAGTCAACAGTTCCTGATTGGATTACTGTATAGAACTTTGAACTATATATCATAGGTGGTTTCAGGCTTCTCTTATAATTATTTGAAAATCACATCAGTATAGAATACAAAGTTATTTCACAGGTACTTCACAAAATTCTTAGGCAGAATTGTTGAAATATAATAATGGCAATAAACCTTACCTGTGTTGACTAGACACAAGGCAA